AAAAGCTACAAAGTTAAACTAGGAGAAATAGCTCAAGGCTTATCTGCAAAGAAAAAGCTAAGTATATATACAGATAGAGCACTAGAAACTATGGAGAGTGACCTGTATTCAAGAAAGATAGGAATAGGTTGGCTAATTATTAATAAGCAAAACTCTAATGAACCTATAGTTTTAAGACAATTCAAGGGAGCTATAAAAGATTGGCCATCTTCAACTCAAGCAGAGTTAGGAGCAATTGGTACAGCCTTGTTAGTGGTTTCATATAAATACAGAATTAAAGTATATACAGACAGTGCTAATGCAATTAGTATAATACAGAAAATTCAATCTAGCCAGAAGAAACCAAAAGTAACCAAGCTCAAAAATGGTAGTATTTTAGCAATGATCGCAAATATAATATTAGAAAAGAAGCTAGAGATAGAGTTGATTAAGGTTAAAAGTCATAGTGGAATATACTTTAACAAGCAAGCAGACAAGCTAGTAAAGAAGGGTGCTAGGCTTGATGAAATTTTGGAATAGAAAATAGAATGGTCAAAAATTTTAAAAGTGATACCTAGGTAGAATCAATATATAGTAGACATTCCAATTAGAGAAATGATAGATAATATTACGAATATGTTTTATAGTATAGAATAGTTACAAACAAGTAGTATAGAGTATATAGAAGACAGACAGGTACTAGATAAAGAAATAGATTAGAAGGAAGTTTGGGGTAATATAAGGAGGAATACAGGACATTATTGTAGAAGTATAAAAAATAGTAGAGAATGGGTATTTGATACAAAGTGTTTAAATGAGCTATTGCCAACCCTGAGTATTCTAAATCAAAGAAGACCAGACCTATATTTAGACAATATATGTATAGCCTGCTATAAAGAAAAAGTGGATATAGGTCACTTAGCTTGATGTGATATCTATGAAGTTTTCTGGAATAAGATAAAAAAAAAGGCTGTAGAATTAGCTATAGAAAAACAATGAGTAGCAGAAAAAATGTCAAAGAGAAAAAGCTTACCTTCAAGAAGTAGGATAGAAATGTTAGTTGAACATACAGCTACGCAAAAGAGAACTAACAGATTAAATTGTATAAGAGGACTCTTTTACAAGCAGGTTGGAACAAGTAAAGAAGAAGAGTGTCTCAGAAAACAGTACTTACATTTCCTAAGAAAAGACTTTAAAAAGATAATCTAAATATTTAGATGCAAGGTTGTTAATAAGTGGAAGAAAGAAAACGGAATCCTGACTAGGGAAAAAAGGAAAAAGAAGAGAAAACAAAAGAACAGTAACAAGAAGAAACAAAAGAAACTAGTGAGAAAACTTCAGTCAGATCGAGAGATTAAAGAAGCTAAGATATGGAAAAAAGTGAAAAAGCATAAGCAAGGTTTTTTACAGTGTAATATCAAACCGGCTTGATCAGGTCTATATAGGCCACGTACTCAAAAACTTACATAAGCAATCTTGACAAGGCTAGCAACTGCCATCTGTAGATTTGGAGAACTACTTCCAGGAAGTTGGAAGCCAAAGAGGAGGAGAATAGTTGTTGCGACAGATTGCATCTGGGCACTCTAAGGCAGCCGGGTGAGCTTTTATTGTAGAAAAAGAAGAGTTGAAGGCAATAGTTTTAAACCTCTGTATAATAGTATACATATTCTTTGTTCAATAAAGGCAGGATTGCCAAAAAAAAAAAAAAAATTAGATAACCAAAAGTTGTATATATAGCTAGTTGGGTTTTTTTAGGCATTTCTGGCCAGAGGTATATAACTTATATATCTCTGGCCTCTTTGGCCAATCAAAGAACGCGAAAATCACATGACTAAGGTTCATGTGGTTGATCAGACTGCCGATGTAAGATCAAACGATCTTACTCTGCCCGGATAGGTAAGTTCTTTTTTGACACAATGATCATCTTTGATAATCATTGTTTTTGATTTTTTTTTTTTTCGTGATAACTTTCTCTAGCTCTTTCTAGTCTTTTTATTTTTTTCTTCCGCCTTATTAATGTTTTGCTTTTCTCTTAGAATGTTTCTTCAGCATTTCTACAGAAGTAACCTTTTTTTTTAATATGTTCTCTGGAATTCTCGGGTATTTTCAGTACTTTCTTTAGTGTTTCTTTGAGCTTTTTCAGTGTGTTTATTCTAGAAACTTTTGACGTTATATAGTGTGTCTCTGTGCTCTTCCGGCAATATAAGGTGAATTCTCTATTTGGCATTGTGGATCTTCTGGTGTTTGTCTTTAGGTATTTTTTTGGTGTATGAATCTTTGGTGTTTGTCCTTGGCATTGTAAACCTTCTGGTATTGTTCTTGAGCATATTTGGCATTGTGTGTGAACTCTCTGGTGCTTGTCCTTGGGCACATTCGGCATTGTGTGGTGAATTCTCTAGTGCTTGTCCTTATGCACTTTTGATATTGTGTAGTTAATTCTCTGGGCATGTCCTTGGGCACTTTCAGTATTATGTAGTGAATTCTCTGGCGTGTGTTTTCGGGCACTTTCGGCGGTGTGTGGTGAATTTTTCTTGAACACTTTCAATGTTGTGTGGTAAGTTCTTTTTCTTTGGTGCCTGTTTTCGGCATTGTGTGATGAATTCTCTGGTGCTTGTTCTTGGGCACTTTCAGTATTATGTGGGGTGTTTGTCCTTGAACACTTTCAGCATTATGTAGTGAATTCTTCTTGGCAATTTTGGTGTTGTGTGGTGAATTTTTTGATGTTTGTTCTTGGATGCTTTTGGTGTTAAGCCTGGTATTTGTTCTTGGGCATCTTCAGCATTATGAATTCTCTGGTGTTTGTTCTTGAAATCTTCGGCATTGTGTAGTAAATTCTCCAGCATTTGTCCTTGGGCACTTTTGGCACTATGATGAATTCTCTGGTGTTTGTTCTTGAACACCTTCGGCATTATGTGGTGAATTCTCTGGTATTTGTTTTTGGGCACTTTTGGTATTTTGATGAATTCTCTGGTGTTTGTTCTTGAACACCTTCAGTATTGTGTGGTGAATTCTCCAGCATTTGTCCTTGGACACTTTCGGCACTATGATAAATTCTCTGGTATTTGTTCTTGAACACCTTTGGCATTGTAGTGAATTCTCTGATATTTGTCCTTGGGCACTTTTGGCACTGTGATGAATTCTCTGGTGTTTGTTCTTGAACACCTTCGGCATCATGTGGTGAATTCTCCAATGTTTGTCCTGGTGTTCTTGAACACCTTCAGTATTGTGTGGTGAATTCTCTCTGGCGTTTGTCCTTGGGCACTATAATGAATTCTCTGGTGTTCTTAGGATTGCATCTCCCAGAAATATCTCGTAAAAACTTACAAAGAAAAACTCAGAAAGCTATAAATATATATAAATTATTTGAAAAGGTAGGCATAGATAATATTAAGTATATTATGACATATAGTGTGAACTCTATTTCTGAGTTGACTAATGATAAAGTTCAAGATATTATAGATAATTTCTCTAAGCATAATGATAATGATAACACTGATGTGGAAGAAGTATCAAGTCACATGACTGAGATTTCAGCCGGGGGCCCTGGCCAAAATTCAGCTAAGGTAAGTGAATTAATCGCACCTATTCCTATTACACATGGCTTTAATTCTTTAGATAATTCATCATTCACACCTCAAATTGCTCCAGCTAAGGTAGAGAATCATGATGACTATGATGAGATATATTATGATGATGAGGCGTGTTTTGATGATCCCATACCTCAGTCAGAGAAAGAGACTAATGAAGTTTAGATAGTCGATGATAGTGATTGTAGCCACGACAATGATTCTGAAGAAGAGAGACTAGATGAATCAGATGATGACAGATATAATGGGTACGATAGATATGATGAATATGGTGGATGCGATAGAGGCTATTATTATCGTGACGGAAGATATGAAAGAAAAAGCTCACCAATAATAAGTCCTATTATCTCACCAGTAACCGCCTAGGATGTATACATAATCTAGTTTCTAATTTTCAGATATACAATGAATTAAATTTATTCCGGGCTGTATAATTTATACGATTAACTGTGACATTGATGTTACACCTTAACCAATAAAATAGAGTTGTCTTATTGCACCACTGTGACAATAGATGTTACACCTATTCAAGCACAAATAATAAAATTTTTATTTTAGCGTAACATGAGTTAGATATTCGTCTCTTGAAAAGAGGATGCTTTTGTATCTAAATATCAAAATAACAGTATAAATAGTAACCAATACTTATTTACACAATCATGTAAAAATAAAAGATGATTAGGAGCCCAGCGAACCCCCTTCTTTATTTAATATTGTTTTTGCCGGAATAACAACAGACAAATAAAAAAAACATATAATAAAAAAAACAAATAAAAAAATAGATATTGCTGTTACATAAAGTGAATAAAAAAAATATATTTTTACTGCTTTGAATTTATAATGAATACTGTGTTATCAAGATCTTCAGGTTTTTTAAAAATTTCAGATAATTTCTCTTCCAATTTAATATCTTGTATATAAGCAATTCTTTTGACCGGAATTTTAAAACGTGCTTCAATTTTTGCTTTAAAATCTTCAAATATATAACCCCAATTAATTATATCAGGATATTTATGGGATGGAAATTCAAGCACGGTATCAAATTCATCGGGAAGTGTGGCTATTTTTTCTGAATATAAAATTTTAATGAGTTTCGCTTTCATAGTTTTTGCTATAAATATCACAATCTCATATAAATCATTACCTTAGAACTAAATTGCGGGTAACTTATGTTAAACTTTTTTTTCAAAAATATATGAGCAAAAAATAACGTTATTGCTAACTTATTTTATGGGCGGGAGCCTGCTTATTTTTATACTTCACGTTCGTTAGGTCTGAGAACCTGCCAGAAGGAAAACTCCATTAATAATTAAGTTACCCAAATCCAATACCAGTTTTTATCTCCATAAAGCAACTCTGCTCAGTCATAAGTTCCAAATACTGAATGTATTTTATTATTTTTTTAGGTGAAATTAAACCCCCTTAGATTCAACGATTGCTTAAGGTGGATTTAGATCTGATGATCTCGAGATGGCAGAGATCTTAAGTTCATACAACATATGAATTTTGATAAAACTACTGATAAAGAACATTATACTCATTGTCCTTATAGCCTTTTTAAAACCTATTCTTATCACGGGATCTTATATAAGGTAAGGGAAAAGTTCTAGAGCATGTAGTTATTAACTGTTAATCAAAAATCGACTATGAGAAATGATTCTGCAGGAGAGTGACACTGCATAAAATTTAATGCAGGCCATTGATTATTAAAGCTAGTCAAGGATTCGAACTGAATATCAAGTGATGTGACATCGCTATTTTAGCTTTGTCATACTATCATATGACTTAATGGTTACAATATTTACACTTCTGCTAGATGTTTGATCAACATATTATGATTATATTGCATAAATAACAAAGTTATTCTAAATTTGTAGATCTAACTTAAATATAGTGTGTAAAATAATTACTGTACTTCGTATAGCCAAATGCGCTTCAACAAGTTATTAACGTAATCCCAAATATAAAAAACATGCGATTGTTGATTGAATTGCCATGTCCAATAATTGTGGTGCTAAATTTGGTAAACACACAATTGTTTGTTAGAAAATTACCATGTCTATTATATAATGTCAAATAAAGCAACGTGCTAACCATTGTTTTGACGAATTACTATTTTTTAAAAAGTGCACTCTGTAATCGCAAAGTGTTAAATCGTCAAGTTATGTTTTGCAACATACAATGACGTGATAAAAAAATATTTGGCAAATTGATAAATTAACATGCATTGGAGTAACTATACCTTTAGTTATAATTGTATTTTCTAATAAAAGGGGTGCCTCCCAACATAGACGCTTATAATTTATTTGATATTTTTTTTATACTTCATTATATGTCGTTATATTCGCTATATATTTCTATCTGTTAATAACTTAAAATTCAAAAACAATGCAAGCATTTATTGAGAAGCATAAAAATGAAAATAAAATTCCTAATCTTATTAACACGTTTCAAGAAAAACCAGTCAAAAAGTTGTTATATCATGCTCACTATAATAAAAAACAAAAGCTTGAGAAAGAACAAAATTCAACCTTGTTGACAGATTATAATGTGTTAAGACCGATTTTACCATTGATAACTAGCAATATTATTTTTGATCCAAATCGGATATATATCATTTTTGCTTTAAATTCTGGTTTTACTCTCTTATGCCTGGGTTATTTTTGTGTTGATTAATTAATCATCCAAGTTACTTGCTACAAGTATACTTATGCTATGCAAAAAATTGTTGCTCTGCAACTAGGGTCTCTGGCTTCTGTATGTTATGTGTTCAAAAGAGCATAATCATTATTTTGATGGCTCAGTACTTTGGCTTGGGTGGTTTGTTCAGTCCGCAAAAAATATACAACCTAGTGCAAATTTATATAATCATTCATATCAATAATTGCATCAGATATCTAATTTTATTTTCCATTATGTTAGTACTGGACCCAATATGCGACTTGGGGATTGTGTATGCATGATAAAATTCATTATATTGAAAATAAATAGAAGAGTGTCTTCCTTTGTTCGTCGGATTATATATCATTGGGGGTGTCAAAATTTGTGAAGAAATTTCATCCAAAGATCTTTTAGTCAACATGCTAATTTAAGAGGCAAGGTCAACTAATAATATTGAGTTGTCTGATGTCCTGCCTAATTTTCTTCTGTTAATAGATAAAGAAATAATTAAAATAGGAGGCATGATGGTGCCAATTCCTATCCTAATAATGCAAAAAATAAATGTTTATGGGTCGCTCTTGGTCACTGGTTGAGGATGAAAGAACTGGTTATAAAAAGAGATATGCGTCGTCACCTTTGGTCTAAATGGATAGATCTGTTGATTTTCAAAACAATGAATCACAGACATTTTAAGAACCACCTTATATATTTCTCGAAAAGAAAAAGCTTATTTAATAATATCTGCCCAAGGTAATCACTGTTTGTTTAAAAAATTAGTAAAACTTCACCATTTAATTATTTCGGAGTGTGTTATGGATGTAGAAGGTAGAACCTTAGTACACTTGGCATTACTAAATAATCCAAGGGTGGTTATACGGATACCATAAACTATTATTATTTTCACACTCTAAATAACCCTTCCTATCGTAGTGATGAATTCTGAAAAAATTTCATAGAACATTTTAGTGCATATATATGAAATAATCTCCTCCCATTTACTAGTTCAAATACTGCAAGCTCTCATAATACTGCACATCAAGAATGTGTTAACACTTTACTTCACAATCTTGGCCCATTATCAGCCTCTGTTAATGAATTTGTATGAAAATTCTATGGAAATTTATATGAAAAAGTAGAGAAGTTGGTATAGAGTTCCTTTGCACCTCGACCTTTTGGAATCTTCCTGATGATCACTATTAATTACAATACAACTAGCGATTAGCATTGGGACAAACACGACGAACCAAATAGTTTATGCTATTTGGTCGCTCTCAGAGAATTTGAGGGAGAAGAATTATGTTTCCCTCAACTTCAGATCATTGTACTGCTTCGGCCTGGACAAGTTGTGGCATTTTCCTCATATCTTTTACTGCTCGGTAATTTTCCACTTATAAAAGGTATTCGTCATAGTATTGTATATTTTGTACATGATACCTTTTTTTCATAATCTACAGAAATTCGATGATGTATATGATAATCTGAAGGATAGGATTGAGAGAAATGCTGATAGGTATGATGTTCTTTTCATTAAACATCAAAATCTCAATAATGCTCAAGGATTGAATTTCAGAACTACGTTTTTTAAGCTGAAAAAAAGCAAATAACAATTCCTCCTTCATAAACAGATTGTAGAAGGGGTCATATTTCTTTGGTACATGCTAGGTATGGGTTGAGGGCAGAAGATTCACTTCTAGATTTATAAGTAATTGGTAGAAATGTAATATATTTTTATTGTATTACGTATAAATATATAATGTATATTTAAAAAATTAAATAAATAAATTCTTATCTTCTCCAAACATGTAGTTTTTACATAATTCTGCTAATATGAGTTTACAATTCTCACTACAACCCAATATATATCTCTTCCATTCTTATTTATATATCATTCACAAAATATAACAAATATACACAACTCATCTAATAACCCAATTCGTTCTAAAAATGAATCTGGTTTTAATTGTATATATTGTACCAAATCTGATAGGTCAAAATACCTCTAAATATACTTAAATCTCATATAATCATTAAATATGTTGAGAGCAAATCACGATATAAATGAAAGAATTGCAAGAACTGGTGGACATAACGTTCTTAATAGAGTTAATTTTTTTTTTTTTTTGGGCAATCCTGCCTTTATTATAAGAGGTGAGGTATTAAACTACTTTAGAGTATATATTACAAGCTAAAATTTCTCCCTCCTGCACAATAAAGACTCATCCGGTTACCGCAGTACCTAAATGCGATCTGCCGCAG